GTATTATATGAGAACACCCTGAATTTTTCCTCTTTTTTTAAAATGCTGGGCATAGAATCCAGGACTTTTCATATGCTAGGCAAGTGCTGTACCACTGAACTACACCCCCAGCTCTGTTAAAAGACAAATTTAATGGGAAAAGTAAATACAACTAATTTTAAAATATGTTCTACCTACCTGGCATTTGGCATCATTATGAAGTACACAGTTTCCTTATTGTTCAATATATTAATATAGTTTTCTGAAAGTAAAAATTAATGTTGACTTTGTATTTAATAGAATCCCACAGTCATTGCTTACTTATCAGGACCATCAGTATCTAGTCACTGGATGCTTATTTTTGTTTGTTTGTTTGTTTTTTGTACCGGGGATCGAACTCTGGACCTTGCGCTTGCGAGGCAGGCGGCAGAACCTCTGAGCCAAATCCCCGGCCCCCCAAAATCTTAATCTTTAGATGAACTACAGCTTTTTAAAAGTAAATGTTTTTTAAAAATATTTTTTGAAGTAAACCTAATAGAAACTTTGGCTTAAATAATTAGGAATCTTCCCTTCTCATACTTGAAGTGTGAGAGAAATAGAAACAAAAACATTACCTGGAAAATACGAGTTCTCTAAAGCTCAGAATCTTCATATATTCTAGTATCTTTGAATTTTTAATGGTTCATTTTATGGCCTTGCAAGTATTCTTCCTATTGTAGAAGTGAACAACAGGTTTAAAAATTCAGGGTTTTCAGAATGATATTTAGGATCTGGCTTGATTCCCAGAAATGAGATGATAGAAGTTAAGATAGCTTGTTCATTACTCACATGTTAAATCTACTGGTTACAGATACTTAAAGATATAAAGCATACTTTTTCTTTTAAGAGAAACATAGGCCATTTATTATGTATCACCTAGCAGAAAAATCATATGACCTCTTTGTATCTTCATTTCCTTGTCTGCAATATGACTGAGTCTAAAGCAAAGAGCGTAGTGCTTGTAAGCCCTGCAGGACCCAGTGCCGTTGCTTTGGAGGAAGCCTGAGATACGTAGCCAACCAAATGCTGACCTCGATTGTGTCAGGAGTTGGATCATGGAGACTGATGATCGTAGTTCTTCTATGTATCATCTTGCAGATTCAGTTTCCTTTATTGTAAAATTTGTGTTGTGATAACTTTTAAAATTTAAAATCTCACCCCCTCCCCAAACTGTTGATGCTGGTGCTTGGCACTGTAGCTGATCTTGGGCAGTGCTGTTCTTCAGGGCCAGTAGAATGTATTTTTCGTAAGTATTCTGTAGGGTTCTGATCTGTAGTGTTTTGACATCTCCAGGACAGACAGTTTGTACCCTATGTCTTATCACCTCCACAAAATGCCAGCTTTTGGGGAGGAGGGGCTTGTTTTCTGATCTCCAACTTACTAAGCCTTTCACCTTCCCTCTCCACCTCCCTTTGAACTCCTTTCCATTCTTTAATTTTGGAAATTTAGGAACTAAGCTTACCAGTATCCTTCTGTCTCTGTTTCGCACGGTCCCAGCTAGCAGACATGTGCACTGGCATCCAGTCACTTTTTGGCATATATCTCCTACAGAAACAGCTCAGTACTGTATTCCATATTGCCTTTCTGTCTAGGTTTTTATGCCTATTTTCTTTACTGTTTAATTGTGATGGATAACATCACTAGAACTGTGTTTAATAATTTGGTATAATGTACATGTATGCCTTGTTTCTAATTATTTTTTCACCAGAATAAAATATTAAGGGCATTAAATAAACATCCAGTCAATATTAATTGAATATGTCATTGCTGATTATAAGAAACATCCATTTTATAGACTAATAAAAATTATCATTTATAAGACATCATCAATTATAAGATGCATTCCTATTTCAGAGATGATAGAATATGAAAAATTGTAACTGAGGACTAAGGAGATATGGCATATGTAATGGATATTGATTTTAGTCTAAATTTTTCTGTTGAGATTTTCATGTGCTCTTGCTTGCCTGATAGAAACTTCTAACATTTTTTATATCTCCACACTTTCAGCGAACTGTATCTAAATTACTTCTTGCTTCACTACAGATATGAAGAGATTTTTTTAAAATATGGGACTTTCCAAATGTTTAATGCCTTCATGATTATATAAGCTATCCATCTCTTCTTCTGGATTCCCACTATGGCACAAAGATGCATTCATTTGAATGCTTTGAGATGGGAAACTTTTTTTTCCCCATTTTCAGAAAGGGTGAACTACACTGGAAGTTTCTTAGTTTTGTTCTCCACACATAGAATGGCTTCTTCACTCTATTCATACTAATCCATGCTGATATCCAACAATATAAAAGAACTATGAGCTTGTACTGTCACTTCACCTTACAGAAAAAAAAATTTTTTTTTCATCTTACACCATTTTAAAGCTGAGGTTTACTTGCTCTAGTTTCTATTTCACCTCAAGGGTCAAATGACAGATATCCTTCACTCTTTTTCAGTTTATCATTCCTTTTACCTCCTATCTCCCTGTTCCTTCATTTTGTCCTTATCTCTGAAGGAATAACTTAGAAATCTAGTTTATTGTGAGAGTTACTCACGTTAAGGCAAGGTGGAATAGATGCCCAGAAGTGGTAGTGTATTGGAATTCCAAACACTCTAAAGAAAATTCTCAGTTGAGAGGTGAGTCATTATGTTATTTCTTTGAAGGGACATGTTTCTGTATACACTTGAGGGCTGTGACTAAGGTCAGCATTAGGTTATCTGTTAAACCTGGATTATTTTCTTAGGGGCAAAGGAGCTGTGTGTCTGGGAAATCGGGAAAAAAAAAAAAACCCAGAAAAATCGATCTTTCTACCCATTAAAATATTTTTAGGAACTCAAGCTCTATGTAAATGATATGGAATACAATGTTTTATTTATAAATCTTACATATGGTTTCTAATGTGATAAAATATATAGAAAGTATTGTTTGACTAGCCATCATTCATAGATGATACTGAAACAATTTAATTGGTTGAAATAAATGATTATCAATTGTTTTCTGCCTCCTGAGCAGTGATTCTTTTTTTTTTGGCCTAGAATTTTATTTGTTGGAAAGTTTTTAAAATTAAGGCTACTTTCTGGGAATAAAAAAAATTTAAGATGTTATGTACATGTGCTAGTTCCTCACAGTGAGTGCAATCATTATGTACTGCAGATAAACACTAATAAAAAAGCCACTTTACTAGACATAGAACTGTTTAGATTATTCCTTTGAGTGATTTTTGGTACTTTGTAAGTTTTAGTGAATTTAACAATTTTTTTTTAATGGGTGGTGCTGGAGATGAAATCCACGATCTTGAGCATGGTAGGCAAGCTCTCTGCCACTGAGCTACAGCCCCAGCTCTTCTTTTGGTTTTTTAATAGGGTTTTTTGTTTGCTTTTGTTTGTTTTAGAACATGTAATTCTTACCTTTCAAATTATAGATTTTAGGGAAGAGGTTTGAATTAAGTTAGCTTTGTGTTTCTGTATTGAAACATCAGAGGCATTTAACTTACAAAGCAAAAGGTTTATTTAGCTCATAATTCTGGAGGTTATGGTCCCAAATTAGTCAAAAATTTGCTCCTGGTTTGAGCCTCTGACAGGGTGCCTGACAGCAGAGGTAGAAAGTACATGGCAGAGCAAATTGCATACATCACAAGCCAAGCCGGGAAAGAGACGGAGACCACAGTTTCTGAGCCCTGAGTAACACCCCCTCTCCGCCAAGGCACCACCACAATGCTCTACCACGTGCACCCTGGCGACCAGGACTATTGGGCAACTCGTGCGAGCTATAGCAAGGCTTTGTGCACTCATGAGCGTGTGTGTAAAATTGAGGCATTAGGCACAGAAGTGGGTTTTTGTTTTTGCTTTTAGTAGGGAAAGCTTTCAGTAGGCTCTCAAAGGGTTCACAACTCCAGAGAAATCAGTACCATTCTGTATAATTCTAGGTAATTACTATTTATTTTATTTAATTTCCATTGTAATCTTTTTTAAAAATGCAACTTTTTAATGAAAAAAATAAAAATTCCATAATAGAAGCAAATAACAGCAGTTAGTACTCTGTGTGTCATTATCATCAAAGTAGTTACTCAGAGTACAAGACATAAACCAAAAAGAATCTTACGAAGAAGAAACAGAATAACACAAATCTTAACAATGGAATTTGTAATTTGGGGAAGTATTTGAACTTCTCCCTATTTCCTATTTATCTTCTGTTTTGTTCTCTATTTATGTTTCTCATCTAAGAGAAACCAAGTGATATTTGAACTTGTGTGAGAAATTTCATGTGACCCAGCGATCTCCATTGTGATCTTGACTGTAAATTGTGAGAATCCTAGAGTGTATCAAAACTCAAAGGGCCAGGGATTTAGCTCAGTGGTACCACACCTGCCTTGCAAGCACAAGATCCTGAGTTCTATCCCTGGTACTAGCCCCCCCCCCCGAAAAAAGAAAAAGAAAGAAAAGAAAAGAAAAAACAAAGAATAATTTGATCTTGAGTAGTTAGCTCTGAAATGGCAGAACTATTCCAGTGGTGTATTTAAAAAAATACCAAACTGCCAGGAATTTCACTTTTAGGAAGTCATGAGTATAAAGGGGGGAGGTTATTTGCACAGAAAAATGTTTTTAAAAATTCTGTACTCACATTTTGCAAAATGTGAAATATTAAAAATAATATCTCTAATTGGAACTTGAATAATTTCAGTATCATAGTTACGATTTAAATTATTTTTGAAGGAGAATATATTAGAAGTACTGTTAGTATTTGTATGTATGTATATATGTGTGTATATATAGGAATTATTTTTTAATATGTGAGTAATGAAAAAGTATTTGTGTGTATGTATACATAGGAATTTTTTTTTTTTGGGTACCAGGGGTTGAACTTGGGACCTTGGGTTTGCGAGGCAAGCAGTGGAACCACTGAGCCAAATCTCCAGCCCTACATAGGAATTTTTAACATTCATGTGAGCAATGAAAATGCTTGATTTTTTTTTTTTTAATTGCAGTGCATGCAAGATATGGGAAATACTAAAGCAAGACTACTCTATGAAGCCAATCTTCCAGAGAACTTTCGAAGACCACAGACAGATCAGTATCCTTTAAAGCTTGTTTTTTGTGGGTTTATATAAAAAATTAATTTTTACTATTTATATTTTATGTGAACTTTATCACACCATTGTTCATTAAAGATATAAATTGATTTGCCTTGAGTTGTGCTTTGTATAAAATAGGTTTTAAATAGGAATACAGCAGTCCACAATGCATGTAATATTTTTTGTAATTATTACTGAGTATAACGTTTTGTGACTAATTCTTCTTGATTTCTTTTTATTTCTATTTCTTGATAGAAGAGTATATGTTTACTATTTTACACTGTGAACATCCTATTTTAAAATCAGTTTTTATGGATATTCTGTAATCACCTTTTACTATATTTATGTGAAATAGTTTGGCATTTATGTGTTTAAATGGCAAATTACATATTTAGCATAAATACAGAAGAAATTATACTAATATTTACTACTGGCTTTCTTTGACATAGGTTGCACAACTATATTTGTTTTACAGATCTGCCTTTTTGAAGGGACAGATTGTTTTCTCACAGATATTTTAGTCAGGATGTATTTTATATTTGTTAAAGATAAAATTACTTGATTCTGATAGGATTTCTAAAACTCATTCAGGTTGGAGAAAGCAGCTCATCAGAACTGTGCTGCTGTATAAATAAGATTATCTAATTAATTTTAGGTGTTTGGATTCTGTCCAAAGGTAAAAACATTTGTAGTTTTGACAATAAAATGTATTTTGTTAAAGGTCAATTATATATTACCCATTTATACAAGTATAGTAAAACAGTTTGTGTGGCCAGTGGATAAAAATGATCCTTTCTCAAAGATAGATACATTTCATATTTGGACAGAAACCTTTTATGTTATAATTGAAAAGTTAGTAATTTGCATTTGGTCTTTTCTGTTTCTGTGTGCGCGCGCGCACACACGCACATACACACACCGCACCCCTACACCCCTTCACCCCTTCACAAATTTAGCAGTGTGATATCCAAGGCTATTTTTGTTATAGAAATATCCTAGAGTAAAAGTAGGTACATTTCAAGTATGCAAAATGCGTGAGCAAAAGTGTGAAGGTGTGAGGAAACATGACCTTTTAGGATTTTGATATTGACAAAATTGGGGCAAGTGGTAGAAGCAGCTTAAAAGATAATTTGATCCAGCACAGTGATTTTTGATACCATGTAAAGCAGTGTGGGCCTTATTTCATTGTCCCAAGGGGTTGAAGTGACTGAAAACCCGTGGAGTGCTTTGAAGCAGTAGAACATTATGGCATTGGCTTTTACCACAAGAAGATTAGATGGAGGTAGGTGGAGAAAGACTTGGAGAATACTAGTACAGCCCCAAATGAGCAATGACGGAGATTGAAGTCCATGTAATGGCATTGAGAATGAAGAGGAAGGAACTGGAGAGAAACTGGGAACGCAGGAGCAGTTGGACTGGGTTAAGATTGGGTTTGATTCTGAGTATGACCCAGAGTTGAATGACTGTAATGCCTATTCATTGAGAGAAGGAATTCATTACTAGAAGAAAGACCACAAACGATGCTGCGTTACTTTGGTCCGATTAAGGTGTATGTTAGACATGTAAATGGCATTACCTATTTGGTACCTGGAAATAGAAGCTGACACCCTGGAAGACATCAAGAAATGCAGAATGGGGAGTCATTTAACACATAGGTGATATAAAGGAAGGGGTGAAGTTCTGGTCACAGAGGGCAGAACTTTATCTTTTTTCTTTTGTTATTGAGAATCTTGGGAATGCTTTTTCCTTCTCATCTAGAAAGTGAGGGCTTCTGTCAGATGCCTTGAGGAGTAGAGCATGATAGAAGGGAATAGAGCCAAGCAGACAAATCAGTGTCCCAGGTGGCCCTTAGCATCTGCCTGCTGCATGTATTAATTTATTCCTCCTTTCTGCTGCCCACCCACAAACCTGTGTTTAAGAAGCATCCATCAAATTGAACAATCTTCCTTTTTGTGAAGTTCTTTTTTGTATTGGGAGTGTTGGTTTGGTTTGCGCTGTGTTATTTTTGGGGTTCTTGACTATTAGTTGAGGTTCTTAAAAGTTTTATTTTTATCAGTACATGGCTACAGTACATGGTGACTACGTTTATTGTGAGGAATTGGTACATGTACAAACACATCTTAATTCCTTTTTTCCTTCTTCCCCTCCACAAGCCCCCCCCCCGCATTAGATTCATTTATTTAATCTTTTAAGTTCTTCAAGGTTAATTTTCAAACATTCAGATTAATGATGGTCAGACTAACAGGCCAAAAAATACACAAAACACATAAGATAATTATACTAAATTAAGGTACACTAATTGTCCATTCTGGATTATAATAACTTTTTTCTCCTTTTTTTTATTTTGTACTTTATAGTGAGTTTCTCATATATGAGAAACCATGTTAAAAGCTTGTGTGTCTGACTGACTTCACTTAACATTGTGATCTCAAGATGCACCTATTTTCCTATAAATGACTCAAACGTATCCTTCTTTATGGCAGAATAGTACTCCATTGTTTATAAATACCACATTTTCTTTATCTGTTCATTTGTTGATGGACATGTAGGCTATTCCCAAAATTTAGCTATTATGAATTGTTTTGCTATAAACATGGATATGCATACATCACTGTGGTATGATGTCTCAACTCTTTTGGGAAGATACCTAGAAGGGGAATAACTAGGTCAAATGCAATTTCTATTTTTGGTTTTTTGAGGAATCGCCATACTATTTTTCAGTAATTGTACCAATTTACACTTCTACCAGTGAGGAAGAAGGGTTCCTTCACCACTCCCTGCAGCCTCTCCAGGATTTGTTAATGGTGGATTTCTTGATGATAGCTATTCTTTCTGGAGTGAGTTGGAATCTCAGTGTTGTTTTAATATGCATTTCTCAAATGGCCAGAGATGTTGACATTTTTTCATGCATTTGTTGGCCATTTGTACGTCTTCATCTGAAAGGTATTATTCATTTGAGATGCCCATTTTTCAATTGGGTCTTTTTATTGGGGGAGTCTATTTTTTAATATCTTTATGTATTATAGATATTATTTCTTTGTCTGAGGAGTAGCTGGCAAACATTTTTTCCCATTCTGTAGGTTGTCTTTTCACTGTGTTGGTGGTTTCCTTTGCTGTGCAGAAGCTTGATAAGATCCCATTTGTTGATTCTTGGAATTATTTCTTGTGTAACTGGGTTCTGTTCAGAAAGTCTTTACCTTCACCTATGTATTCAAGAGTTTTAGCTATTTTGTCTTTTGTCTCAGTATGGGATTATTTAGGATTTTTATATCTTTTGGGTCAGCTTTGCTAGTTAATATGTATCTAGGAATGCATCCATTTCTTCTGAATTTTCTATTAGAGTTCTGGCTCTAAGTAGTTACCCATGATCTGGATTGTGTCAGAATCTATTCTGATGTTACATTTTGCATTTCTAATTGCATGGATTTGGGTCTTATTTTAGTAAGATTGGCGAAGAGTTTGTCTATTTTGTTTAATCTTTCAAAGAACCAACTCTTTGATTCATTGATTCTGTGTTTTTTGGGGTTTTTTTGTTACTAGGGATTGAACTCAGGACCTTGCACTTGCTAGGCAGGTGTGGCGCCACTGAGCTACATCTGTGGCCCTCTTTGCCTTTTTTTTAGTTCAATTTCACTAATTTCTGCTGATACTTATAATTTCCTTCCTCATACCAGCTTTGGGTTTGGATTTTTCATGTTTTTCTAGGACGTTGAGGTGTATCATTAGGTTGTTTATTTGAGCTTGCTCTGTTTTTCTGGTGTGGGAATTCATTGCTGTTAACTTCCCTCTTTGAGCTGCTTTCATTGTGTCTCATAGGTTCCAGGATGTCGTACTAACATTATCATTTGATTGTAGGGACTAACTTCTTTTTTTTTTTTTTTTTTGGTACCGGGGATCAAACTCGGGTCCTTGTGCTTGCGCAGCAGGCGGCGGAACCACTGAGCTACATCTCTGGGCCACTAACTTCTTTAATTTCACATGTGAGCCATTGATTATTCAAGAGAATATTGTTTAGGGCCGGAGATGTAGCTCAGTGGTTTCGCCGCCTGCTGCGCAAGCGCAAGTGCAAGGACCCAAGTTCAATCCCTGGTACCAAAAAAAAAAAAGAGAATATTGTTTAATTTTCATGGGTTTATGTAGTTTTGGTGATTTCTTTTGTCATTGATGTGTAGTTTCATTCACTCTGATCTGATAATATGCAGAGATTAATTTCTATCCTTTTTCATTTACTTAAGCATACTTTATGGGGTAGTCTGTGGTCTATTTTGGCTGAGAAGTGTGTGTATTCTCCCATTTGGGGATGGAATACTCTGTAGATATCTATTCAGTCCATTTGCCCTGAGATTTGGTCCAACTCTGATATTTCTTTGTTGATTTCTTTTGTCTGACTGATCTATCCATTTGTGACAGTGGAGTATTGAGGTCTCCTGTTACAGTGGTATTGGTGTTTATCTGATTTTTCATGTCCAATAGAGTGTGTTTTGTGAAGTTGTCTGTGCCAGTATTTGGTGTGTATATGTTTATAATTGTTGTTTCTTCCTGTTGAATTGTTTCCTTAATGAAAGTTTTGGTTTTATCTCTTATGTTGTACCCTTATGGATTAAAGCAGCCTCCAAGTTATTTATTTGATCATCCTGATTCCATGTGTTATCCCCGAGTGGTATTCAGGGAAAGATAATCTATAGCTTCTTAGTAGCCTGGTATGCTGATTTCTTGTATGCACCATAATGAAGTGCATTGTTATTTCAGGTGTTTTGGACCAGAGGTAATTTCAGAAAAGAAGAGATTTTTTAGTGACTCAGTGTCTGTTATCAGTAAATTCTTGATCATTGACACAGTGAAGATGTTGGAAATAATAGTTGCATTACTTTGGTGCTTTAATAATAGTTGCGCTAAGCCCATGATGGCGAACCTTTTAGAGCTTTCAGTGATACAAAGAGCTGTGAGAGAGGGACAGAGAAGGAGGGAAGCAGACAGGCACAGGCGTGGTGGTTCTCGTCTGTCATCTCAGCAATTTGAAAGCTGCGGTGGGAGGACTGCTTCAGCCTGAGAGTTGGAGACCAGCCTGGGCAATGCCCTAAGACCTTATCTTAAAAAAACTCCCCAAAACCAAAAAATCCAAAAGTGGGTGTGGTGGTGCACATCTGTGTTCTCAGTGCTGGGGAAGTGGAGGCAAGAAGATTGTGAGTTCCAGGCCAGCTTGGACTACATAGTGAGGACCCACCCCCCCATTATAGGAACATTTTCATTATTTCATCTTTTAACTATAAAACACTGTTTTGGAACTTCTGTTAGCAAGACTAGTAAGAAAAACAGCCTGCTTGCCCACTTGCCATCCATCCATCCATCCATCCATCCATCCATCCATCCATCCATCCAGCACTCTAAAGCTTAAGGCTCTTTGAAGAGCCTAACACCTCTGTACGCCTGTAGATATAAATATATCTCTTAGAGGCAAATGAAACCAAACTGAGTTAAATTTATATACTGTCAGGGCTCACTATATTCTTAACAAGATTTGTTGCTTTTAAAAAGCTTTACAGTTTATAAAAGTTAGCAAAAGCTGTTGTAAAAATGTAATTTTTCATGTGGACTATGGTTAATTATAGGCTGCATGTGCTAGTGCATGACAAATGATAAAACTATATATTAAGCTTTTCATTATAAGGATATTTCATCTTATCTAAAAACTTTAATTACTTCAGTTTATGAGATCTATTGTGCACCCCAGCTAATCAGCAGTTCTTCTCCTTTGAGCTTTTCAAAGTTTTACTGCTGCCGGGTATGTGTCTGAAAGATTTTTTTCATTGGAAGTGGATGTTAACTTGTCTTTCAAGTGGTGTCTTTAAAGGAAGGGGAAAAATCTTAAAATGCAAATACGTGTTGAAAGGTAAAACATGTAAAGTTTTTCTGAGCTTGTATAGTACCAGTTGGTAGTATTGTTGATAGGGAGATTTATAGGTCTTACTGAATGCTTTGTAATTATAGGCATAGAAAAGATTCTGGGCTATTTTGAGTTTTATTTAATAAATCCCAAATCAGTAACTTAAATTTGAATTGTTATCAATATATTCCTTACCTTGCTTCCTTCAAACATCATTATTTTATTTCTTATTTTTAAGATTGTATTATTGATCTTCTATTTCAAATGACATCTGGCAACTAGAAAATAAAGATAATTATTTTCTGATCTTCAAGTTTATTCTTTTGTTGTTTCCCATTTACTCATCTGTTTGAACTTGCATATATGCAAGCCATCTTAGTAGTTGATATTTCATTTTACCATGGGCCATATATTTTAAAATATTTGCCTATGAAAAAATCTTTATTTTTTTTAAATTAAAAAAAATTTTTTTTGGTACTGGGGATCGAACTCAGGTCCTTGCACCTGCGCAGCAGGAGGCAAAACCATTGCGCTAAATCCCAAGCCCCCAGAAACCTTTATTTTAATAATAAAAGATAAAAATAAAATAGCACTGTGTACTGTACTGTTTCTATTTTTTGTTTTGTTTTGGTTTTTGGTTTTTTGAGACAGTCTCACTTTGTATTTCAGGCTGGCCCTGAACTCACTGTGTAGCCTAGGCTGGCCTCAAACTCATGGCGATCCTCCTGCTTCAGCCTCCCAAGTGCTGGGGTCACAGGCATGTGCCACTGCTTGGCATGTTCTTATTTAATACTTTATATACATTAACTTGCTTAATTCCTAAAATAATCTTGTAAGAGGCGTACTCGTATTATCCCCATTTTAAGGCTGATTAAACTGAAACACGAAATTATGTAAAATAAAAACTAACTTTATTCAATGAATGCTTACTGTTAAGTAGTATGGTAAATGCTTTATATATATTATTTGCAAAACTCAACAACCTTGTGAGATGAGTATTGCTATCTTTTCTACACACTTAGGTATAGAGTCAGTACATTAGCTGACTTCGAAGTCAGAGTAACTGCCTGTTAAATAAGTGCCTGCTAGTACCACAAATGAGGCTATCCACCAGAAACCATCTTCTTTGTAAATTAGGTACTAAAATCAGCACACAATACAAAATTATAGTCAAGATTTTCTTTGAAAATGCTGTCTGTGGTGATGGTTTATAGACAGAGTCCCTCTATAAATCCAGTTTAGCTGTTCTTTGCCCTTCAGCATTGGAATAGAATTCAGGAATCAGTTTCCATGGGCCCATGAGCTGGCTGCTTATTTTTGTAAATGATTTTATTAGAACCCAGCTATCCCCATTTGTTTATGAGTTTTCTTTGGCTTCTTTGGAGCTACAGATGCAGAGTTGAATAGTTAAAAGGTAGACCAACTGTTGTGTGAAGCCTGAATCTTTACTGTTTAGCCCCTCAAGTAAAAGTTTACTTAACCCCTAGGTAAATCATGGTTTCTTGAGGTGAACTAATAATGAAGAATTGGCTTACATTTAGGGTTTTGTACAAAAATACGTGAGGATTGTGTGAGGCATTTTTGCTCTAAAAGGCAGAAACTGAGAGCAACTAGACAGACAACATGTTCCTTTGAGTGATTCTATTATAATTTAAAAAATTTATTTTATGATGTGATTTGGTTGCTTTTTAAAAAGTAATGTTTTCTGTGATAATTAGGAGTCCTTCTCCACGTGCTTTATTTTTATATCCTTGTAAAATAGTATGTTGCAATATATAATTTTAAAAAATTGGTTGCTTCTTAGATAATTCCTGAAAAATTTCTTACTATAAGCAGAAAGTTTTGCTTTAGTTTCTTAATGTCTTTTTTCTTTTTTTTTTTTTTTTGGTACTGGGGATTGAACTCAGGTCCCTGCGCTTGCGAGGCAGGCACCAGAACCATTGAGCTAAATCCCCAGCCCAGTTTCTTGATTTCTTATTTCTCAAGTTGGCAAGTAAAAAAGTGGCCACTTTCTTCTAATGGAGAAGGAATTCTCTATGATACTTTAACCTCTCTGTGATAAGTGTATGGTATATGTATAGTGAAAAAGAACATTGGTGTTGGTATCACAATGGTTTAATCCTTTCAAGTTCCTAATTCTTTATGTTTGAGAGTAATATGTATACATTACTGGGTTGTGAGAGGAAATAAAGGAAACAAAATATGTACAACATAGCACAGTGTCTAGCACACTGTGAATACTATATGGTTCTTAGTTTCCTTATTTATATGTAAACCTTAGAATGAATCTGAATTGAATTTACAGTTTGGTGGTAGGATGGGGTTGGTGATGGAGTTGTAATGAGTTGTTTTTCCCTCTGAAATTGGATTTGGTGGTTTTTGTTCAGTGAGAAATTTCTCTGAAAGAAGTAGACTTTCTTTGGGAGAACACAAAATAGGCTACAAAGCTTAGTTGCAGAAATAGTGTGAGAGGAAGCACAGGTTATAGAATAGAAAAGTTAAGCTTAGTGAGAGGAATGAATAAAGGAAAATTTACATGTGACTGAACTCTTTGTTTTCCTTAAGTTATCTGTTTTCAGAGCAGTAGAATTTTTCATCAGAGATAAATATGAAAAGAAGAAATATTATGATAAAAATGCTATAGCTATTACAAATGTAAGTAAAATCTTCATCTCAGCAATTGATGTTTGTTAACTAGATCTCAGACTTTTCATATAAAATATAACTCAGTTTATTTATTGTAAAAATTTATTGGTTGTATATGTTTAAAATACTGAATTGAAAAGGGAGCATATTCTGAATAAAAATTTAATATCTGCTTAACATGATATTTAACCAAGTTAATTTTATGAAATTTGCAAAAAGATAAAGCCCCTAATTGAAAAAAGAGGAGAGAAAATTATTTTGCTAGATTCGGGTAGGGTGTGAAAAAAGAAAGTCAGGTTTGTCTTACCCAAGAGCTTTGGTGGGGCTGTTGAAACATGAAACAAGTCGCCCAGGTGTATATTAAAGCGTAACATTTCCTTCATTGTTATCTGGATTTTTGATACTTACAATTGTCAAGACCTTACAGTAGCAAAAATCAAATAATATCAACTGCTCCTTTTAATATTTTTCTTATTAAACTTACCCATCTTAATTATAGTTTAAGGCTAATTGCCTTTATTGTTGAAATCATTTTTTGGCCTTTGATTCTTAGATTAATAAGCAAGCTAAAGGGCTGAGGATTTAGTTTAGTGGCACTGCACCTGCCTTGCAAGCTCAGGGTCCTGCGTTTGATCCCCAGTACCAAAAAACCAAAAAACAAACAAATAAGCTAAAAACTAGTTAACCATGTGGTGAAATTGTTTCTTAAGTAATTCAGAGATAATAGTTTAATCTCATTTTGTATTCACAGTAGGTTTTTTGGGGTCCATATGAAGAAGCAGTATACAAAAAAATTAATCAAATCCTGACAAAATAAGGGTATTTTAATATATTGTCTCTGATCCTGAAAAATATCCTGTTAAATATTTAAAAGTGTCATTGGTATATATTTTAGAGCAAAGGTATTGCTGTGTGTGAAATTTGAGCTGCATTTAACAGTGGACATAAGATAAAATCTGTTGAAAGATCGATAAAAATTGACATTGTTGAGAATGATATTTATAATGTTCATAAATTTAAGACTGGTTTAAGCATTATAGAGTAAAAAAGAACTAACTTTTAAGTTACATATAAGTAATGTATTTTCATGTGAAATGTTAAAAATTACTTTAGAATGCTTTATAAAACACATTGCTTTATATTATTAAACTCTTAATTCTGAATGTTTTTGTTTCTAAAGCTTTATGTGTACTTATGCAGTTTTTAGTCTCATGGCAACTCATTGGAAATTATGTAGTAATGTATAGGAAAATGGTTTTTCTCTGGACAGTAGCTGTTGTTACAAAGTTGGTTGCTTCCACCTCTTGGGTCTGATAATGGTGTGGTTTGTTAGGGACATTTCTTCATTCATAGGACACATGTAATGAATTACAGTATTTAGGTATTAAGTGTCATGCTAAGTGTGAGCAAAATGCATGGTGAATGTTTAAATTTAAAAATGTTATTAAAGACACATTACCATTAATCCCCCTAAGTGTTCTCCCCCTTATTTTGATCACACTTAAGCCACTTTCTGAAGCAGTTCTGCAAGTCCTGTTTTGTGTCTTTATAAGGTATGATTAAAAAAATGTGGTGAACGCTACCACCAAGTGCCATCCAACAGAAAGGTAGCTCATTATACATTATCTTGTATCCTCATCCACCTTGTTCACTGGATTGACACTGTGCAACTTCTGGCTCTTCCCCAAAGTCAATATGACCATGAAAAGTAAATGTTTTGAATCGATTCAGGACACCAAGGCAGCCATGACAGCACAATTAAAGATAATCATGAAAGAGGACTTCCAGAGCTGCTTCGGAAAGAGGCAAGAGCAATGGGATAAGTGTGAGCAAAGTGAAGGGGAGGCTAGTCTGAGAGGGATAATGGCAGTGTGTTTTTTTACCGTAATAATTTTTAAATTTTTAACATTTACCGTATTTCTTGTTCACACCTCATATTTATAACTCATTTTCTAACAGTTTAGTGAAACCTGACAGTTTTGAGGTGTGTATGTAGACAGAACAAACATGGCATGATATTAATGTTTGATGAATATTAATGTTATATAGAGGTATTCATTCTATAATTTTTTTCTATTTTTGTAAGCTTGAAGTAAAAGTTTATATTACTCTTGAGTTTATATTACTAGTGAAATGACAATTCAGAAAAATTCACAAAAATTACATTTAACTTATGCTCACAGTCTCCTAGGACACTGAAGACATGACCCTTGTTTTCAGAGAGATCTATCAAATGAGGCTTAGCCCAGATATTAAAAATAATCATAATAAGAAAAGAATTAAGACATACAGTGTATAGCTACAAATTCCCTATGATGAATGTGATCATTATATATGGTAAAATGTACTTATAAATAATAACCATAATATGAGGCAAAATATGAGTTCTTTATAAATAAGATATTTAAGAAGCAGTAGGGTATTGAAGGGGATATCTAAGGATGGACAATTTCAACACTGGTTGTACTCATAAAACAAAGCTGTCAGACTGGCTGTTAAGCTTTGTGTGACTTATTTCTATATTAAATAGCTCCAAATTATTTCATAGTTTTAAGTTTTTATAATTTGTTTCTTTTTGTTTCAGATACCATTTTTTTAGTGCTGCCAGAATGTGTTACTGCTCTTGTTTTTTTATTTTTGCTACCGGGGATCGAACTCGGGACCTTGTGCTTGCGAGGCAGATGCTGGAACCACTGAGCTAAATCCCCGGGCCCACTGCTTTTGTTTTCTTAAATGTTGCAGTGAGGATTTAATAAAGATGACCCTGTTTTTCTGTGCAAGGCAATTTTTTAACCCCTTAACACAGAACACCGATTAATTTCTTGCCTGTCTATGACATAAACATTTTAAAATGCTGTGACAAAATACAGAGCAGCAAACTACAACACTAATGGTAAAGAGTTTTGCCATTTTTCTCAGTTGTTGCCCCAGTTCCTTGCAGGGTATTCAATTTAACTGTAAAGCAAGCCTCACTGGAATCCATTGTGTAGTGTGAGAGGGACTAGGATGGAAGGCTCCTTCATTCCGAGGGATTCATTCGTAATTGTGAAGAGCATTTTTGGTGGACCATTACTGAGTGTGGTGTCTGTTCATATAAACAGGGTCCTTCTGAGAAAGCGGAGAGGCTTATCTGCTGCACTCATGGAGGGAACTTGTGGTGCAGCCCTCAGTGTTGAGTGTTGTGTGGCCCTGGAAGTGTGAATTAAGGAAAGCTTAAGGAGAAAAGCAAAGTTCAGATAAAGACAAACACAAAGTAAATTATGTTCTAAGGAGAAAAGTTTTTTTACCAGAAAACTTCTTGCTGGGTTGTAGCATCAAACAGAAGTAAGTGTGTGTGTGTGTTTATGTGTGTGTTGATTACATGTCCTGGGGACCAACATGGGACTTTTGAGTTCATTCCTACACCCCTCAACCTGTCCTTCGCTCCTTCTTGAGATTCATGCCTCTTTTTGAAGATAGGTGTAGGATGACAGAAATTGGCTGTTCTGAAGCACCCTTGGATTGCTCCTTTGTTTGTCATTTTGTCATGCAACAGACATTGAATATGTGTATCAAATGGGGGGTGGCACTGAGATGGAAACAATAGCCTTTGCTTAAAAGTAGCTTACTCTAACATTTTCAACAAAAAATGTATGTGCGCAGTGAGCTGCATTCTAAAGCAGAATGTGGTAGTTGGTTTACTAGAAGAATAAAAGTGTTCCGGAAGCAAAGAATTTAGGTAGCACTCATTAATTATCATTAGAATAATTCTTAAGGGAGTTATATTTGAGATTATCCTCAATAGGGAAGGAGGATTGGAGCACAGAGGAAATGGGCTGGTATATAAGAAGGAAATATTCATAAAGCAGGTAAGACATTTCAGGCTGCAAGGAAACTATCCATCTGTGCCAACGTGAGATGAGGAAGGAGAATCTGGCTCTGTTATCTGATGCTTGGGTCTGGTGAGTAGTCCACAGGCTGTTCTGTCTAATGCATTGAAAGAGAGTTAAAGGTGAGTAGAGGACAGAATAACTATATGAGAGGCAAACCCAAAAGGCAAATAGAATTGCAAGGGAGAACTTGAGTACCAGACTGCTCAGAGTTTTACACAGTTTTGATTTAGGGAATGGTTATTGTATTTTATTTGCCATTTCATAAATTGCTGGACATTTAGTGGCTTAAAATAGGTGTACTAATTCACAGATTCTGTGAGCCAAGTCTGAGCATAGGTCGGCTGACTTCTCAGGATCTTAGTAGGCTAAGATCAGAGTTGGCCGGGCTCTGATCTCATCGGATGCTTCCAAGCTCACGGTTCACGGCAGGATGCAAGTCTCTGTGACCCTGTGCTGGGGCTCCCTGTTCTTCCTACTGTCTGCTTAGGCCTGCTCAGTTTCTAGGGACCACCTTCAGGGCCTTGGCAGATAACCCCGTCCTATCATCACATGGCAGCTTATTTCTCTGAGGCTACTAGAAGGTGTGATGGAAGAGAGCAAAGTAAGATTTGCTCTCTTAGTTCAAATCTGTTCTCTCAGGAAGGACCCAGCTGCTTTTCAGTGCCTGCCTGACCTGATTAGGCCAGACCCATCTAAGTTAATTTCCCTCTTGATTAATTCATCCTGAACCGGATCTTAATTACTCCTGCACACTTCCTTTGCCTTTGTCATATAACACCCTAGTCAAGGGAGTGAGGTCCATCAAATTCTCAGTCCTGCCTTCCACCAGGGGAGGGTGTTACACTGGGAGTGCACCACAGGTGGCAGTTTGGATAGCTGTTTCAGAATTCTGCCCTTCACGCTGATGCACAATCAGCCTATCCTCCTTGACCATTCCTTAATTCAGTGAGTAATAGAAGAAATTTGAAACACTTAGATGGCAGAAATCTATCTTTTCTGCCCCTCCTCCCCTTAGCCAGTAGTTTCACAGCTGGAAGCGCAGTGCTAAGTGAGTTCCTGGGTCAGTAGGTCTTGAGTACAGGAGAGCGAACTGCTCAAACACTTGCTCCTTTCCTCCAGCACCTTTCTCTCCCTCCCCCTCCCCCTACTCTGTCTTCCTTTTTCTGCTTAGGTGGTAGAACCACCTATTTCTATTTTATATTAGAAATAGTGTAAAAGAATGTATCTTTTGATTGGGAGTTTTGTTACTTCTTGTCATTACAATTTTAGTTTCCTTTTCTATACAGTACGGATGATCATTAGTGTTTGCATTTCTTCGTATGGTACTGTTGTAAAAGATAAGGCATGCTGTATGCTTAGTAGGGTGCTTAGCACTTAACTGTCTTAAAAATAAGCTGTTGTGATAATTAGTGAAGAAGGGTGGAGGAGCAAAGGAGCATGTGAATAAGCATGTAAATAAGAAAAATGAATACTCAAACTTTAACTATAAGAGTTTACATCATTGGCAAAATTTGGCTTCAGTTTTCCTTCATTAATCTCTCCATGCCGTACAGACCTGTTAATATTGGTCTGCTAGCGACTTGCCAGGATTCAACATTGAAAGTTTTCTAGAATTGTAGAAATTTTAAAAGTTACTATATTAAGGTTTAGCCTTCTTCCTGAAGGAGGCAGTGTCAACTCAGCATTAAAGGATGGGCAGGAACTATAAGAAAGTGTGAGTAGTCAGTCCTTTGCTCTTGCTCTTGTGAAGTTCTGTGGAGCTAGGAGAAGCTAGAGACCTGAAACCTGAAGGACTTGCGTGTGGCAAAGGAGAAGGGAGATGAGGGAGGTGTGGCCAGGTTAAGAAGTTTGCTTGGGCCTTGCTTGCCGTTATATACTGCGCATAAACTATTTAAGTCTCTAAGCAAGGACATGTGATCAAATTTGCATGTCGGAATGATGTGTAGAGAACAGATTTGGAGAAGAGTAAGACTAGGGGCATGGATACCAGTTAGGACTAATCCAGGAGAGGGATATTAATGACTGCCTAAGATGGTTAGTGGAGGTGATAAAAAGTAGATGGTTTTGGGAGATTTAGAAAGAAGAATCAGGAGTGCCTAATTTTTCTTGCTTCTGTATTTTCTTTCTTTTCTTTTTGCTTTATGTTCTTCTCTTTTTCTGCTTTCATGTTCTGCAGTGTCTTTTCCATTTTTCTTTCTGTTTCTTCATTCCTTGCTCACATATTGCACTTTACCTTGATTGTTGACTTTTAAAAAATCAACTTTATTGAGAAATACTTTATAGACAGTAAAAGGTAGACATTTTAAGGTGTAGTGAAATGAGTTTTTGACAAATGCACATCTCTGTGTAACCACCACCACCGTAATTGAGACAGAATCTCTTCATTATTCCATAAGGCTCCTTGGTGCCCACTGGTGGCCCAGATAAGCAGTTATTTGCTTCTTTTTATGGCACATTGTATTTTCTAGAGTTTCATATGATCACTACTATGCACTGTGTGCTCTTCTGTCGTATTTCTTTTTTTTATTGTTTGTTTGGTACTGGGGATCGAACTCGGGACCTTGCAATTCCAAAGGAGGCGGTGACACCACTGAGCTAAATCCCTGGCCCTCTACTGCCTTATTTCTTTCAGCATGTTTCTAAATTTCCTCTCTGCTTTTGTATATACTTAGTTAATTACGGTTTTTAATTGACCAATAGTATTTTATTGTGTGGGTATATCACCAATTGTTGATCTGTTCATTGACTTTTTCCTTGTCTTTGCTACGGAGCAAGTTTCTGTTTTCCTTCCCAGGTGGAACATGATATTAAAACTTTTTTTCCCTCCTTTTTTTTTTGTGGGGAGGGGCAATAAAATATTTGTTACATTCTATTTATTAAATAAAAATTTCTTACTTTTTTTTGAGGTCATGGTATGGCTAATGTTGGGAACTTTTTTTTTTTTTTAATAAAAATTTCTTAATTCTGGGTTTTAAAAGTGGCCATGTCAGTTCATAATCTTAAAACAAACAAACAAACAAACAAACACTTTACAGTGAATTGTCATGCTAGTTTGTACGGATTAGTAATCCTTGACATTCTAAATACTTCTGTTTGTCCTGTATAATTATTTTTATGTTCTCTTTTGCATGAGTTTAGGCAAAGAGACTTTATGATAAAAGTTATTTTAGGTGATTTTATGGCTTTTCAATCTCGTTTTCCATGTGAACACATACTTAAGGATCTCTGGCAAGTAAACATCCAATAGGACAGACCAGGCTTAAACCACTTTTGAAGACATGGTTTTGACCTTTTTAAGTGGAAGATATTTCCTTATATTGTATGTTTTATATTATGTATGTATTTGCTTTGTACTAATTAAATGCTAATTTACAGAATTATAAGAGCCAAAATTGTATAAAGAAAAAACTCTTTAAGTTTATAGCCTTGGGTTGAGATTCAAGAATTACTGTCATAACTAACTTAACAAGAAGATTGAAGGAGGAGCTGTCATCTTGCAGTGTTACTTTGACATTGCATAATGACCTGTCTCTAATAGCATCCTTAAAAAATTCCTCATAGGCACTATTGATATGATAGGGCAATATAGTGATGTCAGTTTTATGGCTCCAAAGATCTACTGTGCATTTTGTAAACGTATTTCAGTTATATTTTGGCAGTAAAGAGAGCAGGAAGATAATGCTTCTATTAAAGTCATCAACTACCCATGTAGAAATTGGGTAGGAAGATGTGTAAAAAAAGCTTTTAGATGAAACCCATTTTCGTGTATAAATTGCCTGTGCTGCATATGTAACTCTCATAATACTGTGGGGTAATTCAAGTATAGCACTGGGAATGATGTTTGCGTGCTGATCTCAAGGAAGTATATAAATTGCTTTATAATAAGTCTGCAGTTCAGCTGTGTATGAATCCACTCTTCTACCTTTTTTCTGTTTTTTAAAACAGTTGGTTAAAATTTTAATTAACGTATTACTATTTCAGCTGTTTTCTTTTTCATTATAGCTATCAGTAAAAACAAAAACTAGGTTTTGTTCTGCTACTTGGGACAATATGTCTTCATACTTCAAAGTTATTATTCCAGTAGTAACATTGACTATAGTGAATTGTCAGAGATGTGTAATTATTTTTCAAATTCTTTCTGTATGATTCTACCGTGAAATCCATTGTAAATAGTCGCTATTCTCTACTGAATCCTTTAAGAAATTACACATGGAAAGTTTTAAAAAGCAGTGTTTCCTCTTTGATGCATCATTTCCTTCTGTTAACATGGTTTTAAATGCTGTTGTCTCACAAACATGTCTTTACTTCTTTTCCATTCCAGTCAGTTCTTACCGCCTACCTTTGTTTCTTCTGACTTTTTATCTCTACTCTGCAGATTTCCTCCTCTGATGCACCTCTTCAGCCTCTAGTATCTTCTCCTTCTCTGCAAACTGCTGTTGAGAAAAACAAATTGGAGGTATGGTGGTGTTTGTTGTTTTTTTTGTTACCAGAGATCGAACTCCAGTCCTTGCACTTGCGAGGCAGGCAGTGGAACCACTGAGCTAAATCCCTGGCCGGTGTAGTAGTGTTTTTTTAACTGCCTGCATTGTGTAGTGTTGAGTAATAAATGAGCTTCCTTTTGCCTTGTGCCAGAATTTGGGGGCGCTGTCATCGTTTATATTTTGCCTCTTTTTAAATTTTTTCTGGTACCGGGGATCAAACTCAGGACCTTGTGCTTGTCAGGCAGGTGCGGTGCCACTGAGCTACATCCCCTGCCCCAGGTGGGTTTTTTTTTGGTACCGGGTATCGAACTTGGAACCTTGAGCTTACGAGGCAGGTGGTGGAACTACTGAGCTAAATCCCCAGCCCAATTGTTTATATTTTGAATGATCTCCAGTACTAAATACAAGAATTTCTTGAATGTTTCCCTGGGATATGATTAAAGGACTTTGACCTCTGTTTAATTTCTGAAGCTATTGATTTATTTGGCCATAAATATGTCACCAATTAAGCAGTTAGTTTTTGTTGTTGTGAGTGTTATTACCTTATACTGTTCCAACCTTATACTTTTTTTATAGTTTATTACTGAATTCTTTGAACTGGTAATTTGATTAAAAAATAGTTCATCTCTTTACCTTTCTTGTTTATTTCATTGAGCTTGATGAATTAATTTGAGACATTCTTTTAGCTCTCGTTTTTCTTGTGTCTACTCCTTGATAAATGCTATGCTACACGTGATGGATACAAAAACGAGTAAGAGACCACCTGTGCTCTCAAACAGCTTCCAGTTGTTCTTTTGGAGTACCAAGGGTTGAACCTGGGGCCTTTGCACTGGACTACCTTTCCATCCCTTTTTATTTTTTATTTTGAGACAGGGTCTTGCTAAGTTGCTAAATTGCCTAGGCTGGACTTGAATTTATTGTCCGCCTACCTCAGCCTCCCAGGATGCTGGGATCACAGCTGTGTGACACCATGCCTGGGCTCAGTTTATAAACTCAAGGAGGAAAGCAAATAACTGTGTGACAGTTTAGAATACAATATAATATATGATGTGATTGAAGGTCACTCACTGTACTGCTGTTAATACAGGTGGCATACTTTTTAATGCATCTTGTACTCTGAATAGGCATTAAAGATCAGGAGGCATTCCAAGTAGAGAAAACAGGAGTTGCAAGTTGAATTGGCATGGCTGGAATAGGAGTGAGATAGAAATAAAGGGAGACAACAGTCTTCTTTTTTAAGAAAGTTGTGTGTGTGTGTGTGTGTGTGTGTGTGTGTTTGTATTTATTACGTACCACTGGGAGTTGAACCCAGGGTCTTCATACTGAGCTACATCTCTAACTTTTGTATTTTGAGACAGAGTCTCACTAAATCATTAGGTTGCCTGGACTGGGCTAGAACTTGGGATCTGCCAGTCTCGGCCTCCCAGAGTGCAGATACTTGGGGGTCCACCTCCAGCCTGGTTGCCAAGTACCATTGAGAGTCCATTAAGGAGCTGGTCTTCACACCAAAGCCCCAAGCACTTTTTTTTTTTTAAACAGTGTATTGCTTTTATTTGGGGGCCTGGAGGTGGGGGAAAGACACCATGGTGAGGGAAGAAATCAAGGACTACAAATGCAAGAACAATTATTAAAACAGTAATACACACAATGAGTAACTGGAACCATTTTCTTAGGAGGACTTGACTCATGGAAGAAAAACTTTAATTGCTGTTGCAAAAACATTTTTATGAAGTAGAAATTGGTTTTAATAATACTACTGGAGAATATGTTCTAGAAAGTGGAGGTAAGTGGATGTAAAATCCTGGCAGCAGTTTAATAGAACAATCCCAGATTATTAGGCTGAGGCCAACACCCAATGAGGATGAAAGCCTTGTCTGTGGGGAATCTTGGATGATACCTGCAGAAATATTACACTGTACATGAACCAAATTGAATTATTTTCACAAGTGTTGTAAAGTTTCATACAGTAAAATTTTTCTACATGCATTTCAATTTCACAGCAAGAGTGGTAGAATACCTAAACACAGAAGAGAGCATTCATGCAAGATATCTTAACTCCTTGATATAATAATGCATACACTTCAAAATGATTACACTATCATTACATCTAGGGCTTTCTGCAACTACAAGGTGGTGGTTATGGAAAGCATAGCCCCTGGTATCAACATCTAGAAAGCAGCTATCACCTTCTATTTGTGTTCTCTTTTTGCTTTTTTTCTTCATTTTTCTTAATCAACTCTGCTGTTGCTGCTGCTTCTTAGCAAAACTGGTAAAAAAATAAATTGTAATCACTGAACATAGCAATTGAGATGTTTAAAACCTTCAATCTTCTGGGGTGAAGAAAGCACTGTACGACATTTAGAACTCTGTTTAAAAAACAAGGTGGTCACAAATTTTCCTGGCTTGAAGACTTCCACAACTTTCCTGATCAGGTCATCGTAGGAGATCTGACTTAAGTTTGTTTCAAAGCTAACATAAGAAAACTCTGGTTCTGGAGTGATGTGAATAGTCCAGTAAGTTCCATCCGATTTCATTCTGTTCATTGAATACCCGCAAGGATTGAACAGTGTGGCATCACTGACAGAACCTGGTATCAGGTCACGAATTCCACTCTCACAAGTGACATCCTTTGCAGTAACACCATCTTTCATGTGGAACTGGTCCATAACTCCTGGGTCAAGCTCGCTCATCAGAATTTCCAGGGTCTGATCTGGCTGACTGATTACTCGACTCTCTGGGAAATCCGAAGTATACAAGTACCAGCAGTGAGAATTCATACGTCCCATACAATATGCTGCTCCATTTGGGAAAATTGCATTAAGAAACTATTTCTTCCGGAAATTCCGGTGTGGGTACCCTTGGTGAGAAGGCTTCATAAAATTCTTACGAGAATAAAAGAAGCTTTGAATTGAGTCAAACCCACTGTAATCCCTAGCAAGCTTCAACAGGGCAACCAGTGCTTTCAGTAAGAGGGTGGTACCACATGTCTTCAAAATGAAACGTCTCTTGGAGACAAACATGCTACTCTCACTGAGTACATAAGCTTCCTGCTTGTCAGTTTTTGTCACACTTATGATTGAACATTGCACATCCTTCAAAAGTACATCCCACTCAGATCTCGGGATAGT